CAGGTGATCCCCAAGTGTTTATTTATTTGTCCTCGCTAAAATCTGTGACATGCTGAGTAGTTGTCATTGGGTCACCTTCTCTCCTCACCATCTCTCCTCAGTCTAATGGAACGTTTACTTAACCAGAACCCATTATGGGAACTGCATGTAAATAAAGACTATTATGTAACAGACTAAGGAATACAGTTAAGTAAACATAACCTTGATGTAGGATGGATGGCAGCCAACTTGTGACACATCACATTCTTTTACTTCTTTTCCCACGCGTAGTCCCATTGGATCCTTGCAGTGACCTTGAATTGCTTCCTATAGTTGTTCCTCTCTTTCACAGTGGAGGTGATAGTCTCAGAGAAATTAGAGTGATTTTCCTAAGACCACAATTCTACATGGCAAAGGTGTGTGTCAATCTATGCTTTCTGACTCAGAGCTCTTTCTCCTGTGTTTGCCTTTGTGCCTTCAATCCCATGTGCAAATCATTATATTTCATTACATTACATATACCAAAACAACAAACATTTTGTTTGGTTTTTAAAAGTTATTAGCAATTTCAGAGACTGCCAGTGTCTGGTAACTTCAGCAAAAGGAGCAGATAAATTCATGGCTAAGATGTATCGTCATCCAAATGCCCAGTGTAGCTCCTGAGTTTGACTTATCAGCTGTGAAGTTTCCCAGATGTTTGGCTCCATTTATATCATGTGACTATTTGGGGACAAAAAATTCTTCAGCATGGTAAATGTCCACCCTTCATCTAAATTCCACAGTTAAAATTTTATTCTGTATGTATTTGCTTTATTGCAAACCTATCTGCCTGTCTATTCCTCTTCCCAGTCAACAAGTCATATCACTTTTCTGAAATTCCAGGCACCAAACAATGTTACTCCTAAATAAGTGGGCACACATTTCAGGAGCTATCCAGCTCAATGTAAAATTAAAAGGTACATATAGTAAATACATGAATATTAAGTGAGTCAATTCAGCAGGTTCTGTCCAATGTGGACATTGTCTCACTCAAAGTGTAGGGGTGGAGTCTCAGCCTGCTCTAGACTGTCCGCCCTTCTTAGACCATCATCCACCATTTTAAGATATTCACCATCTCTTACTTTCTCATTTGTTACACCTTCAAGTGAATGAAAACTTATTTTGCTTTTCTATGCAAGGATTTTCTGTTAAGATAGTATTTCTAATATATGCTCACATTACTGGGCATTGGTGGTGTACGCCTTTAATCCCAGCACTCGAGAGGCAGAGGCAAACAGATCTCTGTGAGTTCGAGGCCAGCCTGGTCTACAGAGCGAGTTCCAGGACAACCTCCAAAGCAATACAGAGAAACCCTGTCTCAAAAAACAAAACAAAACTAAACTAAACAAAAAAGATATGCTCACATTGTTTTGAGCACAAGGCACTAGCTATTTTTAATTGTCTGATATAATGATATATTTTAGGACTATACTAATTTCTTTAACCATTTTCCTCTTGGTAGAAAATTAGGCCATTTCCAGTTTGGGGTTCTTCTAAACAAATCTTACAAGCACTCTTGTGTTGATCTATCTGTGAATGCTCTCATCCATCTTGGGCAAAGTCTTTCCTGTGACTGGAACACTCGAGTTTTCTTCGGTGAACTTGGAAGGAAGAGAATGGAAGCAGATTTATAAGTTAGTGTTTATTTTAAATAGTACTGGGCTTAACTTGAGCTCCAAATTTTGAGTTCTTGATATTTTGTTGGACCTAAATCTTAGGGAATTTTTCTATAACATTGAGGCTTTCAGTTTAATCAAAATCATCATTTTGGTTCTTAACTTAATCTCTGTAAAGGAAAAACATGACAATATATTAATTAACTCATAAAGTTTCTTTGCATGAACTAGGTAAGAATTACCAAGGAGTCCCTCTTCTGACCTAAACTTTGATAGAAAGTAAGTCATTTGGAGTAAGCACATGTAATATTTGCAAAGTTATCAGCAAGGTAAATTGCTTCCAGCTCAGGGAGAGGCCACAGGTCTCATATTCAGTTTAATGTCAGCATTTCCTTGGGTCTTGTAATTTATCCTTAAGAATTTTCAAGGATATGACTTGCTTTTTGTTTGAGTTTTTTGTTTGTTTTTGTTGGTTTATTTTTATTTACTTTTGATTCCCCACTGTTCTCCATAGTTCAACTTCTGTTTGATATGAAAAAAAAAACTTAAGCACATTTCATACTTCTCTTGAAAGGAGATGTTCTGGTGCTTGCCTGTCATCCCTGCACCAGGGAGGCAGATGCAGAAGGGTAAGGAGTTCAAAGCCAGATTTAGCTACTGAGAATCAGAGGCCAGCCTGGGCTACATAAGACCCTGGTTAGTTGTTGAAGCCATATTGAATTTACTGTTTGTAACACTAGTCTCCTGATAGCAACTGAATGATGTGTCTTTTTGTACAGTTTCAGGAAGAGTGATATGTTTAGGGGCTCTAAAATGGAAGGAATAAAGGACCCATGTAGAGAGGCTAATACACTCTGCTCTGGGCATTGCAAAACACAAACACAAGTGATGCCCTAGCTTTTCCTCTGCTCTTTAGGGCATTCCTCTGTGCTTCAGTTTTGTCAGTTATGGAAGGATAATGTGTGAGAATTTGCATACTTTTTAACCAGGAAATTCATAATGCAGTTTTAGCATTGATTAATTTTTATCAGGTATATTGTTTTTCTGCTAGGCTTGCTCAGCTCCTTCCCATCATATTTGTGAGGAGCACAATGATGTCAATTCTTAGAAAGCCTCCATGAATTTGACATACTAGCAGGTGACCACCTTGGAAACAATTTAAATTAAACATCCCGGTTTCTGTTCTGACTTGCCTTTCTGCAGGACTTAACACATTGATTTTCCTTCTAGTTGCAAAATAATAAAATATCTTATTCAAAAGATATATAATATGGTAGTGTTTTGGCAACTAA